CAGTCTGCGGCGATGCCTCACAGGTATATCCCACTGTACTTAAAACTTTAAACGCGTTTTTCTCGAAACCGTTTTTGTTGGCCGGACACATAATTCGAACAAGTCTTAACCTATCGATCTAAAGTTTTGACAGTATACTCAGAAAATCTATGTATGTCTATCGACACACGTCGTTTTTTTTTATATTGCTTACTTTTTTTTTATTAACAATTTTGTGACGTTTTTTGTTCGTGAAAATTGAAAACTTTTTTCAATCACTCACCATTTTGCAAAAAATCAATACATCGCAAAAATCCTACGTTTCTCGATAGCTTTTGATGGATAGAAACTAACCAAACTTGATTTTTTGTTCTACACCAAAAATTAAGGACGTTAGCTTTCCGGCCATGGACCCCCTTTAAAAAATAGGCCTACGAATAAAGGCTAAGCCGCCAATTTGTTTTCGATTTCTTAATCATAAAATTTAATTTTTACTTTAAATATAATATAATAAAACCTCATTTACAAATTTTCGATAGACTTTTTCATTTGGCCAAAAAAAAATTCCAGAAAATCCGCTTTTTATTCGCCTGTTACTCAGATGTCCCCCCTTAATAAACACCAAAATAGCGAAATCACAAAAACTCACATTAGTGAAAAATAAAAAACTTATTAAAAATAAATGATTCTAGTACCATAGAATTTAGTGAATGACCTGCGCCGCACAAAAAAATGTCGTTCCGAGAAAAACGCGTTTAAGGTTTAAACCAGGGGTGCCCAGTCCCATTGCTCTCGGTGCTCCTTTGTTGTTGGAATTGCTCTTTCATATGGGAAACGAATAAAACGTGTGAAACGTGTTCCTCCCAGCATAGGCAAAGACCAAACACAAAAACAATTTTTCGTGTTTTCCATATTCTCCTCAATCGTGCTAATCCGAACGCATTTTGTTTTTGGATTGCCGAAAACTTATCACTGCAAGAAATTCATTCTTGCTTTTCTTTCAGCCAGAATGGTCGACTTGAAGCGATGAATTTGTTCTTTGCAGAACATTTTTAAAGTAAAAAGTTAGGCATTTATTGGCATAGTATAATAATAAACTGTTGTGAAAAATATAGGGCCTATTTATAATTGCTATAATAAAATGCATTTTTTATTATAATGATATTTGTTTGAAACTTCTTATGAATGTTACTATAATTTTATTTTTCAGTGCATCGAAATGGAAAAAAAATGGTGTAAATGTATTGGTGATTTTTTGCACTGGTATTGGAGTTTGCTCTGCCGTATGCTGAGCTTGGGCACCCCTGGTTTAAACGCTACCGAGTGACTCATACTATTCGGTGTTGGCGCGCTCTCAATTATGGGCTGTATCTCTGTAATTATTTAATATTTTTTTTTGAAACTTCAACAGTACATTCTCAATATATAGTACTTTCAAAATATGTGAAAAGATAAAAATCGACTTTTTCAACCTCACACATGAGACTACACTCTTAAAAAAATCTATGTAAAAAAAAAAATACATTTTATTACAGCAAATCAAAAACGGCCCTAAATTTTTTGTAGGGGACAGCTTTTTATTATACTAAGACAAATTATGCCGAGCTTCTTACTTAAAAAAAAATGTTTTGCGAAGAAGAAATTTATCGCTTCAGGTCGACCATTTTGGCAGAAACAAAAACAAGAATGAATTTCTTGCAGTGAAAAGTTCTCGGGACTCCAACAACAAAATGCATTCGGATTAGCACGATTGAGGAGAATAGGGAAAACACGAAAAATTGTTATTGATATTTCCCCTTGCCTATGCTGGGATCAACGAATTTGGCTTAATTTTTTCAAAAACGATTTTCTGACGGTCTGCATGAGTAGCTAAAAAACGACATTTAAATGCACAACCTTGAAATTGATTTGAGTGAGATAGAATGCGGAGACGAAAATAAATGAATGGACTAGTGCGACTGTGTAGTTCTCACTCGCACTACATTCGGGGGATGAAAACCAAGTTAAATGAGTGAGAGTTAGGGGTTTGCTGTTTCGAATTGTTTCAAATTCATTCTAAAATGTATGATAAAGGAAGCATATTTGCTTGTATTTTAGACGCTGAAAAAATAATTGAAAAGTGGAGGCAAGTTATTGTAATTCGTTTTGGTAATATTCATTATTATTTCGCTTAATTTAAATATATTATTAAATTTAATTTCTATAACTCTATAATTTCATAATTTCTATACTCTAACTAATTTAAATTGGAATGTAAAAACATTATTTTATTATGTTTTATCCGATTTTATATTATAATATTATCAATATTATTTGCTAATATACACCGTAATTAAATTTCGGTGTATATTTTAGTTTCAGTAATTAAATTTCTTGCATCCGAAAAAACTCTTTCGGAGGATGCTCTACTGGCTGGTATGCAAAATATTTTGTAGCTGGTTTAATGCAACAAAGGAAAGAAATTTTTGTTCATATTCCACCAACCTAAGCAATCAAAATTTTTTGCATATGGGAGATTAATGTTGCTATATCCTTTTATTTCTCTTTTTTATCATCGTCGATACTTTGGCTTATTAAAGCTTCTTTAACGAATTCGGAAAATGCATCGTCTTCCACCTTCCACTCGGCTTCTGTGATGTTGGTGTAATCATTAAATGTTGCCATAATGAGTTTACACTCACTAATTATTTTTAATTTCTCACTTTCATCGAAGTTTTTTAATTTATTTGTTGGCGGAAACAAAAATAGGGCTGTTTTATGCCACATTTCAATATTCGGCTCTATCATACCCAAAATATGTTAATATAGGGCAATCTTTAGGTGTTCAAGCATTGAACACGATTTTAGATACAAATTCTAAAGATAGAGTTTCAAGGGATCGGACCCATGGAAATACGGGACAAACAGCAGCAAACAGCGATCCTCTGCAGCTTAACACAAATACATAAGTGGTGCGCTTATCGCACTTGACAAAGGGTCGCATAGCAGGTCAGCGTGCAGTGCGTTGATCAGTAGTTTTAAATAGATTTAAAATTTTCATGTATATTTCCTTTAAAAGAATTGTACAAAATAAAAACAGTTTCCAAAAGGAACTCATTGGAGTAACACCTTATTATTTGGGGCTCCTCTTAAAACTTGGTCCTTCGAGCCGGATCCTCTGGTGTTTCCCCCCCAAGTGGTTTGAGACAAAGAAAAAGAGTTTCCAAAGGGAACTACTTGGAGTAACACCTTATTATTTGGGGCTCCTCTTAACATTAGGGACTCCCCTATTTTTGAATCATTTGTGCCGCTCAAAAACGATTTTTTTAGTTTCGTAATATTGGTTATTGTTAAATGGATTGTTGGGTATTTGCTAGCCTTAAGTTTTTTGAAACGTTTTCAAATACATCTAAAATTTTTACAACTGATGAAAAATCACCTATGTGAAGGCCTTCATATCTTCTTATTTGACTTTTCTCTATTAATATGTTGCTAATATCCAACCAATTGGCTTCTATTGATTTTAGTAAATAGAACACAGTTTTCCATCGAGTTGGACAAAAGCTTTTAAGAGTAAAGCCTAAAAGGGAATTGTTTATGTTTTTTTTTTAAAACTTCACCAGTTTGCTGCAGGTTGTCACCAATTCGCCCATCTCACGAATTTCCTTTATTGCTTTTTCCAATGTATTATTCACCAAGTGATTAATGCAAGGGATTTTTTTGTGGTCCCGGAAGGCAGCAATCATGTTTGACCCTCGATCAGTTACACTCACTGGCTTATCAATTTCCAAATTGCAGTCAAATTCGCTTAAAATTTCATTGATTTTCAAACAAATATTTACACCTAAATAAGGGGGAAAAATAAGTGTTTGGTTATTGATAGTTTTCAATGCCGGGAAATAAAAAAGCAACTTTTATTTAGTTTTAAATGTTATAAAAATATTTATTTGGCCGCATATGAAATGGGGATTTTACAAGAAGAGCCAATTTAGGGTGCGAGCACAATATGATAAGATATTGAACAAGAGCGCGCCAACCTTAGATAATAGGCTGAGTGGATGCTCGCTAGCTTGAGATGCCGAATTAGTTGAAGCCGAGCGGGAGAAAGGGAGTCGTCTTGCGACCAATAACGCTTACGTTATTAATTAATTATTTAACCTAACACCGCGGTCCCATCTGAGAGAGGTTGTTATAGAGTTGTTAGATCTTTGTGTTTATTGTAAATAAGAATAGTTATAATAATATAGGAATATGGGAAAATCTCAGAAAAGTCTACCAGCGAATAATTTCTTAAATTATTGTTTTATTTTTGTCTGGAATGTAAAAGTATTATTTATAAAAAGAATCAAACTTTGCACAAACCCACTCTCAACATTCCGAATAATAATTTTTATGACAGCTGTACGATATTGCCGACCGATCTCGGCCGTTCTGAAATATATTTTTTGTGCAAAGATGTGAAGGATGTCAAGGACTAGTTTGCGCAAAAACAAAAAGATATATGGACATAGTTATGTCGTGTGGTCGGCAGGGCCTTATTCCAGAGCATAGGGAATTTCTCTGCCTGAACTCTGCCACATACACCCCGTATAAATGTGTGAAACTTAATGCTCACAGCCCACTTTCTGCTATTCGTTACTAATACTAGTGCGTTAAAATTATGTTAGTAGGTAGTAGATATGTAGGTTAGTAGGTTCGCCTACTTTGTATAGGTATTACCACGGCTTTATAATGTCAAAGATGTCTATTTTACTGTGCTGAATATATTTAACCAAAATACTTAATGTATTTTAAATATATGTCTTGAGAATGTAACGCTCGTCACTAGGGATTTAACTCTTGTAAAGCTACATATGTATGTGTAGGTTTAACAATAGTTAACAGGCATTTCTTCTTATTAGTACTAACTTCCTCGCATATTACCGCTTTGCCGGATGCACTACCGCATGCCGGAGTGCTGAGTCACGTGACCCTTATCCTCACAAATGTATATTACTTTTATGTAATTAAAACACCGTCTGAATTTAATATATTTTTATTAGGTGGGCCTTACGCCACATTTGCAGGAAGAGATGCTTCACGAAACTTGGCAACATTTAGTGTAGTTTCAAATGATAAAGATGACTATGACGATCTGAGCGACTTAAGTGCCGTGGAAATGGATTCTGTTCGGGAATGGGAAATGCAATTTAGAGGTGACAACATTTTAATATCATAGTTGAAACTTATAATATATATTTAATATATTTTTAACAATAGAAAAATATGAACTTGTTGGTAAATTGCTGCGTAAAGGTGAACATCCAACAATTTATGACGAAGATGACGATGATGAAAATATTAACAATGAGGAAATTTCTGGTACACAAAATTTTATAAACGAAGAAAATGATAGTTTGCGAAATCGGCAATCTGAAATATTTAATTCAAAACTAAGCAAAGACAACAAAAAAAACAATTTTGCTGGTGATACAACTCTAAAGAGCACACAAAAAACGTTTACAAATTGTTAGCATTACTCAAATTTTTGTACTACTACATGCTGTTAGCTTAAAATAAATAACATTCAGCATTTAAGACCATAAAAAAAACCAGTTGAGGTAAAAAAAATATTTTATTAACTTTGACAGCTAGCGATGCATAAATTACAAAACTTGTATCCAAATTAAAAACTTTGTAAATCCATTTTTTAAACGGGTACACCAAAAATTAAGTTTTTTAAAGATGTTACAAAGTTAGTTTTTAATATTTTTCACATTGTATGATTGATTCTATGTATAAATTATATTTTTTTATTTTGGTATAAATTTTTTTAAATAATCAATAATAAAACTGACGTCTAATGGTATGGGATTTGTTCTTGTGAAAAATGTTGTGTATAATTTTAATAAATCATGAAAACTGATGTTTATCAATATTATTTAGTTGTTTGTTTTACGGTAGTAAAAATATTTCTACGTTATCTTTTGATTTTCAATAAAAATGGCAACTCACATGAACTTCTAAATATCCAACCATGGGATGAAAAGGTAAGAATTTTGATATTTCAAAATATATTTTCCATGAGAGCTTATTGATCATGGGAGTTTTTCTTCATAAATTATTCATGAACTTGTCTTTTAATCGTTTAAAATGCTTATTTGGTCCTTATACATACTTAATCGCGCACTTTACTTTTTGTATTTGTTTGGTCATTGATAATTTTCAATGACGTAAATAAAGACGAATTTGAATTAATATGAACGTTATAAACAATATTTATTTTTGCCTGCAGATGAAGCCGGATGATCATCTAATAAATAAACATTACCAAACATTACGTTAACATATTTAAACATTAAAATTACACCGCTGCTGCCTGACCCGACAGTATTCAGTATTTCAATCAAAACCGTGCGAAGAGATAGAAGACGCTCACATTAGGAAAATTTTGACATTGATTATTTAATTCCAATTTACATTTTTGCACCAAGAACTGTTTCTATCGGTTAATCCTCAGGCCAAAAGCACAAAATCAAAATTTCCACGCATAAGTTTACTTTCTCTGTAAGCTGTTTTTTGAGCCGAAGTCCAAAACGCATAAGAACGCAAAAATGTGCAACGCAGTAAAGGAGGCATTTCCGACCCTATAAAGTATGTATATATATTCTTGATCAGGATCACTGCCCAAGTTGATATAAGCATGTCCGTCAGTTCATTGGTCAGTCCGTCTGTCTGTTTCTACGCGAAAACTTTGCACACCCCCTTCTTTTTTTGCACGCAGTATATACACAAGTCGGAACTGCCTTATAACTTATTGATCGGAAATGCCATAAATTTTGCGTTTTTAGACTTGGGAGAGTTTGGATTTTCTATGGATTCTATTGTTGACAAAATTATACGACATTCTAAGTTTCATAAAGATCGGGCGACTATGTTATTTAGCTGCCATATAACTGAACAAGAGGGAACGTTTGAACTTTCTACATACTATATATTTTGCCAATTGATCAGACCTACCAAATTCGATAAGGATCGGCCGTCTATATCCATCTATATCCTATAGCTGCAATATAACTGAACGTTCGGAATTTGGTATTTGCTAAAAACACAATTTTGATATTTTTCTGACGATATAGGCATGCGTACTTTTTATTTAATTTTGTATAATAATAAATGGTTTTAAAATAAAAGTCTCATAACAATCGGCGAACTATATCCGATATTTATGATTTATATCCAGTCTTTACTGCAAGGGCATATCAACTTCGGCTCCGCTCGAAGTTAGCTTTCCTTTCATGTTAAAAACGTACATACAGTTAAAATATGTTAAAATGATCGGGTTTGATTTATCCGCCATCTTAGTTTACCGGCAACGAGTCGCAATGATATTTTTTACGTCCGTTTACTCTAGAGGGATTTTCTTAACTAACTGCCTCCTCTTCTTGCTCTTTACCTCTTTTTTATCATTGTGCCACGCTCAGTAAGGACTTTGTTCTCCTTCCCTCACCGCACTCTCAGCATAAATTTCAATCTATTTATGCTTTTGTGCTTTATTTCATTAGACAATACATTGATACTTAAAACTAACAATTCATATTAACCTCCGACACGGCCTTCCTGACTATAACACGTGACTCTCATTTTTTATCTCTGCTACGCATACACTCAAATTTTAATCATGCACCCAACTGGTATAGATTAACATGTTTGGTTAAAACATCAATTTGAACAATGCACTATGGTCCAAAAGTCGGATTTTTTGGCATAAACTCTGAAAATTGACTTACAGACCTCAAATTTTGCACACTATTTTTTCTTTTTAAGAAAAGTAAGCAAAATAAATTTTGAGTCTATGCGACCACGCCTTCTTTTGCCTCCCATACTAAATAATTCCTAGTATTATTTTTAAAAATTAAGATTCAGATAAGTTACTTACATTTATGTATGTGTAATAAATTTTAATAAATAAATTGGTTTTTGTTTTAAACATAGTCTTCTTCTTCTTCTTCTGCTTCTTCTTCTTCTTCTAGTTCTAGAGAGCATCCTTCGTTTAGGTCCTCATCAGAATCAGAATCAGATTGCACATCCAATTCTTTTTCATTTGGGTTTTTGTTTTCGGCAGATGGCAACTCCAGAAGACTTAATACTTCTTTAGGAAGAGGTTTTTTTATGTTTTTCCTTTCTCTTTCCTTTAAACAAATACTAGATAGTAAAGAATCCGAAGAATCTATTGCCCTATGGAAAAGGTCAGTCATAGTATTGATTCGACTATTTTTCCTTGCGTGTGAGAGTCTGTCTTTTTGTAGATTTTATTCCGTGCCTCTGAAGCATTTTCGCCTAAGCACCCTAGTGGAACCAACGTCGAATTATTTATTTGAAAACCGTGGACTAAAACCTTGTGAATTGTTGGTGACATTGGGTACCACGGGTATTTATGCATATATAAGTCAAACGTTTTCTTACAAAAAATACATTTGTGAAGTTTTTCTTTTATATCGGATTCAAAATGACTTATTTTTTATTTATATCTAATCTTTTCCTATCTTCTATGTGATATTTGCTCAGTTTTTCGTAAATCCAATCAGACACAATGGATATTTTGCGATTGTTGCTGCGCCAAATATCGAAAAGATCGCTATGGCTAAACTCGAACGTCCCTGAATATTGTGGATTTGTAAGAAAAGGGGGACGAACGGGGAAAATGTGTTAATTAGCGTTGAAAAACGACATTTATGTGAACAAACTGACGTTGTTAGTTTTTGTCGGCAGACCTGGGGTCGTTTTTTTTTATCCACGAAACACAGGGGACGCATGTTAATTTTCTACAAAAATACACATAAATTGGACATTAAACACAGCTCAAATAGTAAAACTAAACATAAATGTACAATATACAGTGAATACTACACACCTTGATCTTCAATTTCCATTATTAACCCGATTTTGTTTGGACAGATAATTTTTAATTGCACCCACAAACGTAAACAAAAGAATTTGCCGCCAATTACCATATTCTAAACAGCTGATCGATTGCATGATTTTGAAAGCTCATACAAAGCTTCAGTGAAGCTTTTAAATATTTATTATTTAAGTTTTTAGAAGTATGATGTATTAACTTTAAGAATTTAAAACAAAAAATACAAAACATTAACATAAAAATTTCGACTTTATGCCAAAAAATCCGACTCTTGGACCATAGTGCAATGATTGAACAAATGATATATTATATTGTTCAGATGATATTTGAACAAATGATATATTTTTTCTCGTCGTTTTTACTGCTCAATTTCCCACTAATGTCTATGTGTACCTTATGCCACGGCATCTACCTTGGGTATGAGGTGTAGCTCCGATTGTACAAATGATATATTTTTTCTCGTCCTTTTTACTGCTCAATTTCCCACTAATGTCTATGTGTACCTTATGCCACGGTATCTACCTTGGGTATGGGGTGTAGCTCCGATTGTATTTTACCTGACACTGATTTCGACAATTTACATGTGAAGCAGTTTTCTATAAATTTTCGTACATATTTTGACATTCCATTAGTCCTGTCGAAACTTAAAAAATATCGTATATCGTGTTTAAGTTCATGGCCCATTGGTGAAATGTGTCCAGATACTCTTGCAATGCAAATGTGGAAGCCAAGATACTACTATGCATACACGTTTGTAAGGGAATGCCTATTAGTTCTTTGTCCGAGAGGAGAGAGTTGGTAGTACCTGCCCTTGCTAGTTCATCAGAGGCGCAATTTTCCTCGGGCACCCATATAAGGTGGATTTCATGCTGCCCCGCCATCTCTTTCAGAGATCTGCGACAGTCACTCGTTGTTCTGGAGTTGGATGAAAAACTGACAAGGACAAGGACTAATTGCCGCTTGGCTATCTGAGAAGATAAAAATGGTTACTTGATTGCTAGTAAGTGCTGGATATCTAAGTGCTTCTCCGATAGCTATTACATTTGCTTGGAGCACACTACAGTGATCAGGGAGTCTGAAAGACTCATTTAGATACAGCCGATTGCAGTGGAAACCGCCTCCCACCTGGCCATTCAAGTTTGAACCGTTTGTGTAAATATGAAGGAAACCGGCTGGTCCCGGGATTTTGGTGGCCCATTCCTCCCTCGTTGGAATGGATACCTTATATTTAAAGTTGGGATAATCAACAGTCTGTTGGTGTGGTACGGAGACTGCCTGTAATGCAGACCTCCGCCAACTCCTGCGTTTTCCTAAACCCCCATCTGAATCTTATGGCCTTGCGGCAGGTATAGAGCACAGTAGTCCCCCTGTTTGCTCTATCCATAAAATTAAGGTTCTTGGCGTTACCACTGAAGGTAAAACTATCGGCTTCCCCTAATAGTTTTGGAAGCCTTAAGGTATTTTTTACTTCCTATTAAAGAGGACAAGTTCGGTCTTGGATGGATTTACTCCTAGCCCGTTCCTGACTGCCCATGCTGAGGAAACCCTCAGTTTGTCCTTCATGCGGTCGCATAGAGTTTGGGGAAATTTTATAGGGAAGGCAATTGTGACATCATCCGCATAAGCGAAAACTTTGCATCCACCACCTTCTAGGGATCGTAGTAGGTTGTTAGCCGCCACGTTCCACAGCACCTCCTTGCGGAGTGCCTCTTCTGACGTATCTTTGAATAGATTCTTCTCCGAATGTCGTCTCAACCGTCCTGTTTACTAAGATCTGCTTTATAAGGCGTACGGATTATTTGTCTACTCCTAGTCTCGTTGTGGAACGTACCTTCTATGTCTAGAGGCTGATTAGTCTATCCATTGGCTTGAGGAAAGACGAAAGGCGTATAGGTCTGAAGTCCATAGGGGTGCAGTGGGATGGTTTTGGGTATGAATACGACCATCGTCCGCAACCACGTTGCGGGCACGATGCCTATTCTGAAAATTGCTGAGAAAGCTTTCCTGACTTCAGATTGGGG